CCATAAGGGTTAACAACTCTATCATATTGTCAGCATAAGATGCGTATCCGTGGGTGATTTTACCACAATCCACCGAAGCTATTACGGGTATCAAGTGGCTCTGCTACCTAATCCGCCTGAATTGGGCAATTCACAAAATCGATAGTCAAACAGCTGCAGAATTTGCTTGAAAATAAGCAATGCAAATCAAAAACTGTTCTGAGGATTTTTTCGTTGGTGTTTTTAACAATTCGAAACTTGAAACAATTAGGAACACCCGAGCGGCTAACTACTAGCCTCGAAGTGGCACATCATCATACGTGATAAAGTTTCATCTAAGCAAAAAAAATATTTCTAAATTTGACCGCTCAATGTTGGAATTTTGAGCTGTTGCTGTCCATATCAAGCAGAAGATATTTACGACTTATTAATGGTACAAGCTTACTGGTATACTGAACCCAAATAAGGAGAAGGTGACTAATCTATGAGAATTATGAATTATGAGAACAAAATTATGAAAACTTCTTGCAAAACTTTCTGGATGACCTACAACATTTTAGGATTTAGATTTAGGTCCATTTCCATTATATACACTACGAAAATTACTAAACTAAAATTGTGGCATTCAAATGCTCACAAACTAAGCCTTTTTCATACCGTCTTGAACCCAGTACGGATCCTCGGCTGATTCTCCTCCCAGCATCAGGAATACCGGTCCTCCTTTCTTGTACCATTGTTGATTGTACCAGTATCTCTGCAAATAATAGTGGTTGCTCAGCTATTTTCGGAAGGATCAGCTTACAGCTGCTTGAAAACCTTTGCCCTCTTTCTTTAAACAAAAATGGCGGCATCTAGAATGCCAGCTATTTTCTGAGAGCATGCGTGTGTTAACTATGGATCTTATTTACTTCCTTCAAATATCTCTCATAATGGATACTTTTATAGCTTCAAAAATTATACCTGTTGATAAACAGCGTTGTTCGAGGTGTTGAAATGGTCTACTTTGTTTTGGAACCAATCTTGCATGACAGCATCGTTTGAAGCAAACTTTTCATTCTTCTGAACGAGAGTAGGCTTATGAATGTTCAAGTAGAAGAGCTATTCTCTCGCTTACAGTTGGCTTCGGAACCAAACCGCCCATTGGACGCCCGCGAACCATGTGTCGTCGGAATTTCTTCTGAGGAGCACATTGAGCTATTAGGACGAGGCCTAGTAAAGTGATTGGATGATTGTTTTTTCAAATAGGCTGGTTGCTTTTATATACAATTTTCAACTTTATAGAACTGTAAAAATTTGCTGTTTCTGTTCCTCGGACTTTCCGATTTTGCCGGAAAATATCTCTCTGCGTATTGTTATGAATTATCCCAATTCAGAAGATAGGCTATGGATAATTTCTACAATATCCTTGTCTTTAGCAAATCACTATATTCACATTTGCCTTGCTAAACGGCTTCGGGTTAAAAATCAAAAACCCAAAAGTACTGTAGAAGTTTTTATGAATTTTTCAAAACTATTTACATTGATTTGCTTTGAATTACCTAAACCGTAACAGACCATTACGAGAGTAGCAATATTGATGGTTAGTAGTAGTGGTCGTCGGAGAAAATTTTCTTGGATTTGCGAGTTCCTTATGAACAGTTCTTTTCACAAATGGATTGATCTATGAATATCTTTTGACTCATTGTCATCAATAAGAAATTAAAACATTTATTGCAGCCGTGTTTGCCCGTACATTTCCGAAACCCACTTCCCCTTTCCTTCGTTTCCCTCCCCTCTCTCCTGCCTCGCTCCACTCCGTATGCTTCCCTTGTTCTACCAAACTTATAACAACAGACCAGCGTTGCGGCTCTATATCGTTAAGTTCAAACCTTTTTTTACCATAACAAGAGCATTTGACTTTCTGACTAATTTGTCCCCTTAGGAACAATAAATAATGCCTT